ATTGAGGATACAAATTGGGTAATTGTCTTCATCATTCATTTATTGTTGTCCTTAAACACTTGCATCCTTTCTTGGGAAACTTGAAGCATCTTCATGTCTTACATGCATATTTGAATAGGTCAACTTTGATTGTTGGTGGAATCGTCCATTTTTATAGTAGCCTAAGACTTTTCTTTGTGAAGTTTACTTAATGTAGGCACTCTTACACGATTGTGTCACTAAAATATACAAGGTTTTTTTTAAGCAAAGAGAAAGGTAAAGTATCGCAACAAATAAAGTGAAATGCGCTAGAAGCATTAGAGGAAAACTAAAGAGTCTTTAAAGTGTTGAGTGTTGAGTGCTTATGGTAGGAGTAAATATACAAATTAAAGAAAAAAGTAGAGAAAGTTACTGATGGAGTTTGGTGGAAAATCAAATAAAAAAGTTGAGTAAAAGAAAGAGTTTTTGAGAAAAGTTTAAAAAGAATTTTAAAAGAGAATTAAAAGGTGAGTCGATTGAATTTCTAGTATGTCCCTTATATATACCAAGTAGAAACGGGTTACTTAAAAGCAATTAATGAGAAAATCTTTATTAAGTATCATGAAAAGAGTACACTTGTGAAGAACATTTATAATTATATATTAATGGAAGCCTTAATAGGGCTCTCAAAAGTTGACATTTGGCTTTTTGTGGGTTTGACACATGGTGTGCTAAGGAAGGGGTTCGTATTGGGTTTGAGAATGTGATTTGGTGTAGGGTTTGCTTGAACGGGCTGCGTGCCTGATGCTTTTAGACTTTTCTTCAAGTCAGCTTGGGCGGGTGGCATGGCTAATCATTTTCTCATGTGTTTTCTTTCCGTATGTCACTTTGTTTCTAAACTCACATGATAGATTTTTCGTTTCTCGATATTTGGACCTAGTCGCTCCATTCTGTACGACCAGTGGATGTGTGTTGCCTGAAATGGGTGCCGTGTTTAGGTTATTCGGTGTTGTCTTCTCCATGTCCATCATTGACTTGTTATTATCCTTGCTACTTGTCTTTTGGGTTTCTAGAAGTTTTTGCTTGTGTTTTTCAATCTTGCTTTTTTTTTTCCAACTTTGGTTGCATTCCTTTTCCATTGGCTTTTTGTGTTTTTCTGCATCTGGATTTGTCTAACTTTTTTCTGTTTAGTTCAATAGCTAGGGTCTTCTAGGGTATAAAGAACTTTGAACATTTGGGTTGTTTAATTCTTTTTTACACAATTTCTTCTTTATTATACATCCCCTTTTACTGCCATGTTCCTCACAATTTTAGTTTTATTATTTTCTTTGTTATTATTTCTAGGGTTTTTTTTTAAAAACTTTTTCCCCTATTGCTATATGGGGAAAATGGATTAGGCAAAAGTTCAAAGTCTTGGCATTAAAATGTATTAGATCGGGTTTGGGCTACCTGTTAGTTTGTTTTTTTCATTATAGTTATTACAATATTCAATAAGAATATGGGGTGGTGTTCTTTTGCACATCTGTTATTGATATTTTGGTCTTTGATGTGGATTTTGTTCACTTATTCATGGGTTTCCTTATTGAATTTTTTTGACATTTTTGTTTTTTAGGGAACTTGGATCGACTACTTAGTATTTAGCTCAGGTTGATTTTTACATAAGATTATGTTTGGAGTTTATCATTGTGTCTTATAAAGTAATGGTATAGAGATTTTAAATTGAAATCTTTCCCTTTTTTTAGATATCTATGTTTCATGATTTATTTTATAGTCATATTATATTTGCTTTGTTCTAAAACATTATTGTGCATTTGTTCTATCAAATCAGTCCTCAAGCTTTTAAGTCAGATGCTTCTATCTTGATGCTAGTGTAACTTGGTCTCTGTTTATTGTTTTCTAACGTGTCTAGCATTCAGACAGGCTATTAGCACATTTTGCAAAGTGTCATCGATTTACTTTCTTTTGAATTGAATTATTTTATATTTTTTAGTGTTTTCTTGGTTTATTGATTTGCTTTGTTGAAGTCAGCTTTTAAAGATATTACTTATGTAATTTATTATAATTTTAATGGAAAATTTCTCTTTAGTAAACAACGTGTTTGCTTATGTGTATGTTTCATGAGTTTCATACTTGATTAATATACTTTTCATGTCCAAATTTTTGGGTTAAATTCATTGTTTGCTTATGTGATATTTATGATTAAAATTTTACTTTATCATTCATGAGTAGTAATTCTTTCTTTTGGCTTTTAAATAGAGGAGTTATGAATGCGTTTAATCGCAGACAACTAACCTTGATTGCAACAATGTCGAGCAGGGTTGCCGAGTTGGTTTGGTAGAAGAATACATGTTTAGATATTAAAAGCTATATGTTGGGTTACATTGACTTTAACTTGGTTGAATAGTGTAAGCAAACTACAAAGTAGACATACTAGTTGTGTTATGTTTGTTATTTTTGTTTACAATTTATTATGTATGATTTATTTCTTTCCATGATTTTTTTTCAGTAATTGTCCCTTAAAAAGGCTTTATTTAGAAAGTAGAAAATAGTTTCTATAATGTAAATATGTAGAGAAAGTGAATTTAATTACATAAAAAGTTATGGAAGTTGTAAAAATTATAGAAATTAATTTTGAGGATTTTCTAGCAATAACAAAGTTTTTTAGGTTTGAGCTTTGGACCAATGAATTGGGTGGTAGAAAATGGAAGGAAAATAAGAAAAAGTTATCATTAAGCTTCTGAAGATATTATTTTAAAGTTTTTTTATGATAACTATTATGAAATTAGACTATCTTCAACTTAAATTGTCTCTTTCTGAAAGTTTTCTTCTAGGTTTAGACTTTTACTTTAGTAATTATGTTATGGCACCTATATATATGAAGATGAAACTTCATTGCTACAATTCATTTTCATGTGAGCTTTCTGCATTAATTACTAATGACTAGATGCCTGTTTTTTTATATATATAGTTTTATTTACATATGGGTGTGAATATTATCTTTCATGCAAGGAAAAAAGGAGGAAAATTAAAAATATTCTTAGCATGATGTAACTGTAATTTTATGTTTAAGTAGTTGTAAAGTTGATATTCTGAAAAATTTTCTTCTTTTTTACTGAAGTTCAATAAGTCTATGATGGTTTAATTGAACCGATTAGCATTCATTAAAAGGATTATATGTTGCAGAGGGCTTTTCTGGTAAAGAGAGAGAGAGGGAGGATTATAATAAGTGAAATTGAATGCACTATAGGTAGTAGAGAGGAAGATTGGAGTAGTCCTTGAAGCGTAAGCGGAGCATGATAGATGGAAAAGGTTGAGTAGATAAAATATTTGGGAGAGTTATGAGGTTAGTCTCTGCTGAGTTTTTGATTGTTTCTAATTGTCTCCTAACTTTCCAAACTCTCATATATATACTAAATAGGAGTGCTTGGGAGAAAGAAAGCACTTGCAAGAGAACACATTCAATCATGAGAGAATATGATTGTTATAGAACAGCACGTTAAATAGCAGTTATTGGATGTTAAGCTCAATCATGAAAGAAAGTGCTTGTTATGGAAAAGTACGTTAAGGAATGGCTTATTGGTTGTAGGAGAAAGAGCATGAAATGCATAGGATTTGGGTAAAGCACGTGTATTTTAAAAAAAGGTTAAAAACTTCATAATTATTTATATATTTGAGCTACTAAGTTAAACTTTTTAAAATATCTCAAACGTGAAAATAACTTGTGAATCTGTCACTTGTTTTGAGTTATTTTAATTTTCTCGTATAAAATAATTGTTCTAAACTTGTTCTCATTTTGCAGCACAATACTTCAAAAGATAATGATTAGTCAAAATTGAGCATTTACATTTTGCCAGAGGATCCTCCAAAACAACCCAATCATCAAAGAACAACCTCACTTGAAGAGTCCTTGCCCAGCCTATAATATCAAGAAATTCTACAATTTTACTAATAATTATGACCCACACTATCTTATATTTTTTGTTTACAAGCAACATGATAAATTAAACACTCTAATGTTAACTTTTTTATATATACAAAAATCTACAAAAACAAAGCAGTTAATCATGATCTTAATTTGTTCGTGGGCATTAACTTTTTGTTAAGTGAGTGGGAATAAATGCATATGATTATAAACAACTATGACACACTCTTCCACTTTGTATTAAAATTTGTAGCAGCTTTTGTGTATATGTATATTTTTATATCAACACTTCGTTCAAAGTCTTTTATTTCACCTGAGCACAACTCGCAGACCCAATTCTAATATTTATAATAGCAAGAAAACATTCGTTATAGAAAAAAAAAAAAACACTTCAAGGCAAGAATAAATTAAAAACAAAAGAAAAATAGTCAAAATCCTATTTAATTTATGAATCACCTACTACCTTTTATTATCTTTTCTTCTTGTTTTTTGGTTTCTTGATCTTCCTCTCTTTCTAAGAACAATAATTCATTACATTAAAATTCTCTACTTTTTTTTCTAAAAAAATATATAATTTGAAAAATATGTACTTTATATATTATATATATTTGAAATTATTTAGATTAAAAGAAATGGACAAAAATGCTAGTAGTTTAAAAAAAAAAAGAAAAAAGAAGGAAACATAGGAAATTCAATAATAGAAAAGGATCAGTTTTAGCTCGTTCTGTTTACCTTTTCCTTTCTTCTCCCACACAGCCTAGTACCTAAACTTGTCAAAATGGACTGAGGTGGACTGAGTTGAAAAATTTTGACTCATATTTGAAATGGATTTAAATGGGTTAACTCACCAAATCAGTGGACTGATGTGGGTTGGGGGTAGGACCAGTCTTATGGGTTAAAAAAATAATTTTAATTAATTTAATAATTTTATATATTTAATTATGTAAAATTAATAATTTAACTACTAATAATATTGTTTATTTTATATATTTCAATCTTTTTAATATTCACTTTTCAAATTAAAATTTTTAATTAGGTTAAAACTTATTATCTTTTTTTCTTTTATGATAATTAATATTAAATGATAAATAATTAATATTAAATGATAAATTGATAATAATTCAGACCTTGAGACATCATTACTGTCTAAACAAGATTTAAATGTTTTACTTGAGAATGATGATTAAAAAGAATATAAATGAGCCTTGAAATTTTTTTTTATTTGGTTATATACTTATGTTTATGAGATAGTAATTTCGATTAAATACTTAAATTTTATTATGTAATTTATTTATTTTTTATATTTAATATAATTTATTTATTTGTAATATTTTTTTATTATTCAATTTATAAATTAAATTATAGAATAATTTTATTAATAAAAAATTTATCAAGTAGAATTAAAAAAATTAATTTTTTTAAAAAAATAAAAATAAATTGATCCAACCCAATCCATGGGCTAACAAGAGGTGGGTTGGGTTGAAATTTTGATGACTCATATACAAAATGAACTGACCAGGCCCAACTCATATTTTTTCAGCCCACAAAGCTATTAATTTAACTTAACATGAAAGAAAGGAAAAGGACATAAAAGAAAACTTAACATGAAAAAACACTATCCATAATGGCTATTAATTTAACTTAACATGAAAGACTTTGATTCTGTACTAACACACTAGACTGAAAATATTACCACCTATGATTTCAACTCTGTAACTCCGTAAATGGACATCAAAGAAAACTGTTCATATAGTAGTATCAAGCTCCAGAAAAGGAGAACAAAAGAACATATCTGATCCGAATGTATTTGAATGATTATGAGATGTGCTAAGAAAATATAAAAGATCATATGATGCGGCAAATGAATCAACCTTACATCATCCTTCATTGACAACTTCAAATCAAGAGCCAACTCCACCAAGGCAATAAATCTGATTTTTTCTTATATATAATAAAATACGCATTGCACAAAAGCCAAAAGAGCTGAATAAAATTACTAACTATGCATTTCTTTTTCTTTTTTTTTGATAATAAACTAACTATAAATAGCTTTCTCCAGCATTTGGCAAATCAATAGTATTAAACTAAACTAAAAACCAACATACAATTCCTTCCCATAAAAGAATACAATCTAAGTATTTACTTCAATGACACTGGAAAGAGATTCATACTCCATTGGGCTTCGAGTGTCTTATGGTTCTGCTAAATTGATGCGAGGAACAATGTTCATTGATTGCAGTTCCTGAAAACATGTCATTCGAAGGCATTTGATCAAACACTGTGGCAAATAAATTATTGAAAATAAGATTGAAAGTAGAAAATATATTTACTCCTGCTATCATCAATGAGGTTATTACAATAAAAGTTTGAAATGAGAGACAATTCAGATTAACACACTATATAAATATTCCTTGGATGTTATCTAAAAAACTGCAGGTAGAGTTTCTCAACTTCACATACGAGATTAGACGATGATATCCATGTCTCATCAAGCTATTTAAATGAACATATCACAACATTCTAACCCTTATGAAGTTTAAAAGCTCCAACAATACTGTAAAGAATAATAATCCATACCTCGTGCAAAAACTACTGCTAGGTAAGTACTTTTACCACAATTATATTATGAAATTTCAAAGTCCACAGTGCCATTCCTTGGTAACTGCCATTTCCATCTTGAATTCTTAATGAGAACAAGATTTTCTATTACCATTTGTTTTGAACGTTTTGCTTTCATTTCGAGAAAGCAGAAAGGTATATACTTTATCAAACATACAATTTGTTGTCAGCTTCCAAATTTCTCAAAACAAGAACCGTGATTTTGAAAACACGACAGTGCCAAGGAATGCCTCAATGTCCATCAAATTTCATCAATTTGCATTGTTGTTGTATTAGATGATAGCAAAGGACAAGGAATGTTGTCAGAAAACGACATCAAATCTTGAATAGACTAATTAATCCTCCAACCTGCATAATCATTTTTACCAAAGCTGTCCGCAATTATTTACTTGGACAGATCACCAGCCCAGCATTGCTTAGTCAAAAGATGCAAATCCTGCCTTTAATAACTCATTAAAGGAGACATTCGAAAATTCGACACCAAACCTTTGAGACTTTAACTTCTCTCATAGTGAGCCTTGATTAGCAATAAAATGAAAAGCCTTCATTTACAAGTCAAACGTATCCATAAACTCATTCAAGTAAAAAGGATTCTCAAAAGAAGCACGTTTCTATATGCACATAAGACAATTAAAACACAATTAAGGAATAAGTCACTGAAACTTGCGCACATGAAATTCCCGACAAAATATCCAAGAAACATTCATCACATACAGAATTAAAACGTTGAGTCAAAGACCTCATTTCTTATTCAATCATGCTAATAACCACAATCAAATATCAAAACATACCTGAAATAAGAGCTTGCAAGCATATGGCAACTTAATCATAGAGATATTATCTCCATTACTACAGGAAGAACAAATCCCTCTTTTCAGCTTATGACTGAAATATCCTAACAAACCACACTTTCTACAAACCTGTGTGAAAACTCCATAAATGTCAGGTATAATGGCTTTGATAAAATATGCAGAGAAAACTACTAAAGTATGCAATGAGTTTCAATATTTGTTCAAAATGTTCAAATGTGATCAAGACTTTGACTAGCTTAAATCAAGAGAAGCACAGGGCTAATATAGTAGGGAAGTGTAAACAAACAGCTATGTTTTCTCTTCTCCTTTTATCCACCCTTCCCCTTTAAAGGTAAGAGACTGGCAGATATTGAAATGAGATAAAACTACCATATATAGACGAAGAGGAAATTTCAAAATTAGGAACAGAATGATTGCACAATCTCAAAAAATATGGTGTGGAGTTGAGTGTCATGAAGCTCCAATTGAGGCACCTTTGAGGGAGGAGAGCTAACAGAAGTGGAGAGAGAAAGGAGGAGCGATAAAAGACAGACAAAAGAAACAAGAGAAAAGCCTTTACTTTTTCCTTGTAACATTTTTTAATTTTAGTTTTTGCCACATAATGTCATGTCAAAATAAAAAGGTCAATATTTGTCACATTAACAAAGTTAACAGAGTTGGTTAACAAGGGCAGCAAATTTGAAACTAGTGGGACAACATTTTTCACAAATACCAAGTGCAGGAGTGATATGAGCAAATTTTTACAGCCAGCAATGTGACTTGGTAAAAGCACCATACTTAAGATTTCTTCCAAGATGTGCATCAATTAAAAACATTACCTAAGATTAGATATAATTAGGGTTGTAATTGTGGGAAGAAATATCACAAAGATGAAAGGGCAAAGGTTTGTAGTATCATAGACTGGATTTTCTAAGAACACTACAGAAACAGCGTTTATGACTAAAAATAAGTCAAAATCAGACATGTTAAAGCTTAATTGAATTTTGCCAAAAGTTGGTCACAGATCTGATAGAAGATCTTCATCCTGTAAAGAAATGATCTATAACAAGAAAACTTTCTAAACGCTAAAGCATTACTTATGTTTTTGCCAATTTGTTAATAAGCCTTCTAACAAAGACACTGCTGTGCAGTTTGGTAATTGAAAAACTCACAACAAAAATATAAGTTTCCAGAGTTTGGTAACTGATTCAACAAAGTGCAAAAGCATTGAGCTATTACCTGAACTTCAAAAGGATCACTAGAGATCATTAGGCGCTCAAAAATCAACAGGCTAGCTCCATAAGAAATCAGGCAATCACGTTCCATTTCTCCAACACGCAGTCCTAGAAAACAAATAGCTATTAGAATATATAATCCTTCAGTAAAACACAAATGGAGGAATTTTCTATCTATGTATAAATAAAAACCTCCATTTCGGGCTCTGCCTTCAGTAGGCTGCCTAGTTAGCATAACTCGGGGACCACTACCTCTGGCATGGATTTTATCCAGAACCTAATCATCATTAAAAGTATCATGAGCAAATATAAGTCAAAGCCTTAGGCTACCACTAGCAAAATTAATATTGAATGCATTACAAATTAGTTAAGTATATATTTATTTTCATTATAAGTTGAATGTTCAGATAAGTGCTGCTATGCAACTGACGAAAGGTGACAGAGGGAGGACATCGGCAGTTGTTGCAGTGGTGGAATTTGATTTACTGGATGGTTTGACTATTTCTTAAGAAAATTTTTTTTCTGATGAGTGTGTCTTTTGGCTTGTATGTGTTTGAAATACTATCAAATAAAAGAAATTTTTTTTATATTTCTTTTTTGATGGCTGGTATGGTGTTTGACAGGCAAAAATATATGCTAAGAAAGGTGAAAAAGTGAGAATTATGTGGAGAGAGAGGGAGAGGGAGAAAGAACGAAAGAAAAATTAAATTATCATTTGGCTAAATAATTTACAAGTCATTTTTTATCGAAAATGCCGTGCTATCCACCAAGTCGTCACCTTAATGACGGTAAGTTAGCAAAGGTATTAATCTTATTAGTTTAATAATTCATAGAAGTATAGGTATTTAGTTAAATAAAATTGAAGAAAAGGGATTAAAGTAACATTTGATGGAAGTAGAAGGACCAAAATTAAACTTAGACCTGCAGTTTCTTTCACAAAATAAATTATCAGAATGTCTTTGACCCTGGACTAAGAGCTAGGATTATCAACAACTAAGAGTAGCATACTGTAATGGGATCAAAATCTCACCATATGTTTTAATTTCTGGTAGTAAATTGGT